TCAAGTCAGTCACATGCAGTCAGAGGCATGGCTCTTGATTTAAGCCTTAATGAAATAGCATGCAGTGGTAACCAACTGAGGGGGCTATCCAAAAGCCATTTGTAGGGTTGCTTGTCAGAAGACACGGCCAGAGCCCTGGGCAGAAGCAGCAATATGCCACGGCAGATGTCCCGCAGAAGGATGGTGCCCAAGGATGCTCCCTTCCTCTGTGATCAAGGAGGCTCTGGGTTTGGGCTCCCTTTCCCTTGCACCTCCTTTGGACTTGGACATGTCTGAAGAGCGAATGGAGAACAATGCTTGGGCATCATTACTTCCTCTGTCTTGATTATTTTTGCCTTGAAGCCAAGAAACTCCTGGGTCTTTCTTACCAAAAACAGGATGAGCCTATGGCTTAACTATAGAGGGACGCCCAGCACTCCATCTCACCAGAGAAGACAGGGGTGAGGTGGATGCCAGAGCTCTGGCTTCTTCTCCTATATGGCAAGTTTCTTATGAATCTCATCGCCCTGATGCTTCAGAAGTGTTTCTAGTTGTTTTGATTTTTGTTTTCTGATTCTTACTATATAGCCTAGGCTGGCTTACAACTCATGATCCTCCTATTTACTCCTGAGTGCAGAGCGGTTAACTGGCATGATTTTTCTGAAGTTTCGCTGATACTCCTGAAATTGTTTCCATGGGGAAATGTATGAGGGTTTCTCTGTCACACAGCTAGGATAAGTACCGATGGGTAAGTTCTGGATGCTTTCCAACATGGGTGCTCCCTTGGAGAGCACCCTTGTCCATACTTACCTCCTGTCCTATCACCTGTCTTCAAGCTTCGACTTTTCTGAAGGCAGGAAGTATTTAAGAAACAAAACTTACCTCTCAATCTTTTTTTGCTTTTCATCTCAGGGCACTTAAATTCATCCTCTTCCCTTTTACACTGACCAAATCTGGAACTACTGAGCCCATCATAGGTCAAGGCTTACCTGTCTAAGAATAATGTCCCTGGGATTGTGGTCCTGGTGGCTGTCCACAGGTGTGTGGATTTGAACTCAGACCAGAAGCCCTGGGTGTCTGTCCTCATATACTGCACTAAGATGCTGTAGCTTCTGTGCCTAGTGAAGGTTGGGGCCAAGAAGCTCGTAAAGAATTGGACAGATTGATACCCAAACACACCCACAGCCATTAAATCATGGATCCTGAGTCTAAGATTGGCTCTGTTCCTGACAGCTCTGACCTGCACGTTCCACCTAATCACGTCCTAATCTGTCAAAACAGACCTGCTCAGCTATGTGGATTCCTCTTAGCACAGTTATTTTGTACTTGTGGGAAAACGCGAATTACAGAAACGTCTCTGCTTACTCCTGTGCCTGCCATGTCTTCTCACTTCCAGAAAACACATTTTTGCAGCGTTGGAAGTTTTTCTTAACCCTGTCCCTCAAGGGCAGAGAAGGCTTCTGCCTCAGAGTGACCAGAAAGTGAAACTATTGTGGGACCACATTGAAGCAGGTTAAGGTTCTTCCTGTCCCTGTGTTATAGAAGTGATGTTAGGCAACAGGTACCAAATCTTGGGGCCTGACTCAGTGCAGCCTTTGTTAAGAAAAGGAAGGCATACCTGGGAGACCCCACACTTGGAAGCCAATTCTGAAGGAGGGGCTGTAGTGGGCACCCCCTGATCAGCTGTGAGCCTTGGTGTCTAGGTAGCGGGATGGGTGGCTTTGCGCCTGCCTGCTTTATAACAGGCTCGCTGTGCTGATACACTACAGCAATGTCATCACATAAACGCTCCCACTTCACTGGGAATAACCTTTCTTTCCCCTCTCTGGATTTTAACTCTGATCCCTTTGTCCTTCACAAACAAGCACTCTAGGTCTGATGGGAGGCCGTGCCTAGACACTGGCTCATTATCCAGTTAATCTCCATTTGCTGTCACATATTCAGCCAACAGTGGCATTTGCCTGCCTGTAATTTGAAAGCCTTTTTTTTTTTTTTTTTTTTTTTCATTGTCACTTACAGGAATGGCTGAATGACTCATTATGCCATGGTCAGCCCTCTTGGGTTCTCTGCTACAATGGGCCTGCCCAGCCAGATTAAAGTGTGCAGCCACTGCAAGCGGCCAGGTCATCAGGTCAGCATCTGTGGCTGTGGACAGAGCTCTGAAATAAATGAGGCTCCCTGGCTTAGACTATTCACTCCTAGAGCCTGATTCGTGGACCTAGAGCCTGATTCGTGGACCTGATCGAGATTAGTACCTTGCGCTTAGACGGCAGACACTAAGTGGATCATTGTGGAATGGATGAGTGTGTACCACCATTAAGTTTAGGACTGAGAATAACTAGCAGAAGGACACAGTGATTCCCACTGTAAGTGCTGGTGCACATCTCTTGGGGAGTTTAATCAAAATACACTTTTCCCCACCTCTAGGGAGCTTGATATAGTTGTTCTAACAGGGACCCTTGATAATGCATTCTAAGCATCCAGGTGATTTGGTATCAGCTAAACAGCATCCAGAAAGCAGCATCTTTGGGACTCTAAGGAGAGTGATGGGTTTAGAAGGTTTTCCTTAATGTGGGACATACAGAAACCTGAATGTCTTCCTTTAAAAAAAAATGCAAAGGAGTTTCATCTAACAAACCATCTCATATCAGTTTATAATGGCTACAGTGTTGAGGACGGTTCTGAGGAATGCCCAGCATTCTGGAATTAATCAATTAAGATGTCCTTCATGGGTAGACAGGAGTGCTGGCACACATGCCAAACATCTGTCAGTTTGCACAGAGAAAGCAGGCCAGGATCTAAGTTGTGATGTTATCCTGGGCTACCTTCTACTTCTTTAATGGGTAAAGGTGGAAAGCAGCAAGTGATAATGGAAGACTCGGCATGTGATGGTAAGAGCAGTGGCCTTTGGTTGAATCCTGACTTACTATTTCGCAGTGCCTTACTTACTTCTGTCCCTCAAATTCTTATAAAATGGGAGTAATGGCTATACCTACCTAGACCTACCCTAGAAGGTAGTTATGGGTTTTAATGGAGTTCTTGAACAGTATTTGGCACATAGTGAGGAAAGTTTGTGCCGGATGGTTTTGATATGGACTTATTGTGCGTTGTGGTTACAAAAAACTAAGCATTTTGGAGAAGGGACCATTGGATTTGGTGATGTTCTTCTGGTGGCTGGGTTATGAAAGCTATACCAGTAAGCTGCCTCGCCTGCGTCTGAATGTCGCAAGGACATGTCTTCCTCTTGTAAGAGAAAAAGAAGCATCAAATGTGTGCTTGACTTGTGCCTTCAAACAGTTGGTCTCTCACAGTGGAGATGTGGGCAAGTGAGCCTGCCAGGTTTCCACTGGACATGGCTGATTTCAAAACTGAAGTTTTGAAAAGGAAGAGTTCACTTGGACCTATGCATGGAGAAGAGAGGTATTACGTGAGGCCTACTTTCTGAAGAAAGTAGGCTGAAGTTCCCCCACCACCCCCAGCAGTACCCTAGACTTGCTGAACTAGCTGGAATGGCTTTCCTATCAATTCTAAGCACTGCACTGCTATTTATCTCAGCCTTCCAGCACAGCTGTAGCTTGAGCCATGGTCTCCAAATGCTGGTCCCAGATCATAGAAGACTCCTACTCCCTACTAACCTACTGGTTTTCACTGAAGTGACATTCATTGAGCTCATACTTACATGACTAGCATTATGCTGGGTGATGAAGATGCAAATGAGATGGTCTAGGAGACATGATAGGGGAAGAGTGACAGAGGAAATGAGCTTGGAATGTATTATAAATGTGTGAAAATATAACAATGAAATCTCCCTCAGTATAACTAGTATAAACTAGTAATAACATTTTTAAAAATAAATGAGGCCAGGTGCTAGTAGCTCATAACCTGTAATCTAGCTGCTCAGGAAGCTGAGATCTGACGATCATGTTTCAAAGCCAGCCCAGGCTAGAAAATCCATGAGATCCTAGTCTCCAGTTACCCAGCAAAAAGCTGTAAGTAGAGGTATGGCTCAAGTGGTAGAGCACCAACCACCCTTGAGTAAAAAAGCCAAGTGAGGGGCTGAGGCCTTGAGTTTGTCCCACTACTGGCAAAAAAAAAAGAAAAAAGAAAAGAAAGGGGGGGGGGGGGGAAAAGGAGCTGGGGGGTAGGGGGAGTGAGAGGGCCTGCCTGTACCATAGGTTATGCTCTGGTTGAATAGATATGCCAAACATTTAACCAATTAAGCAATATGTGTGGGGCTGGGAAGGTGGCTCAGTGGTAGAGCGCTTGCCTTACATGCAGGAGGCCCTGGGTTCCATTCCTCAGCACCACATAAGCAGAAAAAGCTGGAAGTGGCTCTATGGCTCAAGTGGTAGAGCGCTAGCCTTGAGCTGAAGAGCTGAGGGACAGCGCCCAGGCCCAGAGTTCAGGCCCCATGACTGGCAAAAAAAAAAGAAAAAAGAAATGTGTGTGTATACACATACACACACACACACACACACAATTTCCTTTGTTAGGGGCCTACAAAGATACATGCAATGAGTGTGTAGAGTATTTCCCATCCACGGCAGAATGGCAGAGACATGCTGGCTCTGAAAAGGCCCTGTGGTTCCTACAGTTGTTCAAAAGAAGAATACAGTGCAGGTGGGGGACTTGGAAAAGTAATGTTAGCCTGGGATTGGAAAGCTGGTAGGAATTTTCAGAGAAGCAGCATTTCAGAAATGTAGCAAGCACAGCATCATGAGAGCGGAGGCCAGGGTGGTAGTGGTCTGTGGAGTGCCTGGCTTCATTGTTGCTGCAGAGTTCTGAGTAGGAGTGACAGGACAGTAGTGAGCATGTTGGAGCCGGTGGAGTCGGGAAGAAGAGGTGTGATGAACAACAGCAGAGACAGTCCTTCCTAGGCACGAGCTCCTGCCCAGGCACGCCAGAGAAACCTAGGAGAGACTGGCTTTAAGGAATTCCATGAGGAAACCCAACTATAGACACCATCTACCTTGGAAGATGAAGGTTTTCTTACTTAACCAGTTTCTTCTTGTGTTTTACAGATTCAGCCAGTTATTGAACAAACCTTCCCTTTTTCCAAAGTTCCAGAAGCCTTCCTGAAGGTGGAAAGGGGACATGCACGGGGAAAGACTGTAATTAATGTCATTTAAATAAATACAGTATACAGTTTTGTGAATGTTTCTCTTTGGTGAGTTCATGTGATCCAAATGTATTTCTAGCCATCTCCCTCAGATATTTTCATTTCAAGTCCATGGTATGTGTAAAAATAGCCACACCCTGTGGCTGGGAAGGTGGCTCAGTGGTAGAGTGCTTGCCTTGCATGCATGAGGCCCTGGGTTCGATTCCTCAGTACCACATAAGCAGAAAAAGCTGGAAGTGGTGCTGTGGCTCAAGTGGTAGAGCGCTAGCCTTGAGCTGAAGAACTGAGGGACAGTGCCCAGGCCCAGAGTTCAGGCCCCACAGCCAAAAAAAAGCCATACCTTTTAACCAATAATTTGTCAGTAATTGCTATACAAGTATCAGAACTTGGACTTGTCTGTTGTCAGTGACAATTACACATTGTTTTCGTTAAGCTAAGTTTCTTTTTTGTACAGCTTTGAAGATTGCAATGGCACCTTCTAGCAACTCAAACATTATTAACCCTTGAGGTCCCAAAGCTGTCAGTGTGGATGGATGTTAGCATGATGAACTTTAAGATCTAGTTTCTTCATGATTTCATCAGCGAGTATTTTTCTGACTGGCTGCTACAGATTGGATTTGAAATGTCTCCTGAAGGTCCATGTGTGTAAGGCTTTGTCTCTTACCGCTGGTGATATTGGGAGGTGATGGACCCTTTAAGAGAGACTTAGTGGGAGGAATTTAGATCAAACAGCATGTCCTTGGGGGAGATAGCGAAACCCTGACTCCTTCCTTCCTCTCTCTGTGTCCTGGCCACCATCAAGTAAGTTTTCCTTCACCACTCACCCCCACCACAACATGCTGATGGCACTATTTGGGGAGGTTGTGGAAACTGGGAGGTAGAACCTCGCTGGAGGCAGTAGGTCACTTAGGTGTGTCTTAATATCTTGGTCTGGGTCCCTTCCTGCTTCCCTCTCTTCGCTTCCTGTCTGCAGTGAGGTGATGTTTTTTTTGTATATGCTTCTATGAGGCCACGCAACCATGGATTTAACGCTTTGAAACTGACCTAAAGTAAATCTTACCTCTTTAAGTGGTTCTGTCAGATACTTGGTCACAGCAATACAAGCAACTAATACAGGGCTCTGCTGGAATGGAGGCAGCCCATGTTAGTCTGGCAAAGAACGTGGGTAGTATATTTGTCCATGATGCATCTTTGTGTGAGGCTGAGTTTAAAGGTGAGGAGGAAATTTTGAGACAACACAGCCTAAAGGCAGCAGGATGACTATTTACCAACTACTCTTAGCCAATTTTACAGTAAGAACCAGGAAAAGAGCAGAAAAAAATTAGAATATTTTGCAGCTTAGACAAAAGTGGAGCATGCTGCAAGGAGTGGGGCAGTTGCTAAACAGATTAGCACTATGGGGAAAAAAAACAAAAACCCCAAAGTACTTTGCATTGAGACAATAGAAAAGATGCCTGGATGGGCTGGGAAGGTGGCTCAGTGATAGAGTGCTTACCTTGCATGCATGAGGCCCTGGGTTTTGATTCCTTAGCACCACATAAGCATAAAAAGCCGGAAGTGGTGCTTTGGCTCAAGTGGTAGAGTGCTCGGCTTGAGCTGAAGAGCTGAGGGACTGTGCCCATGCCTAAAGTTCAAGCCTCATGACTGACCAAAAAAGGGGGTGGGGGGAAGGAGCATCTTGCAGGCCAGTGTTTAGTAAAGTGCCTGGAGGTAGCCTCTGAGGGGGTGATGCATGACCTTGAAAGTAAAGTCAAAGTTGCAAGGGAGACCCCAGGAAGCACATCGAGAACCTGTCAAGGGAAGCTGAAGGTAGCCAAGCAGAGCTAGGCCAAGAGAGTGGTCATACAAGCTGCAACCAGTAAGGCCATAGCAATGGGGCTGCCCAGGCCTGGTGGAGCTCCTATCAGGTCCCATGTATCTCAGGTGCCAGATATAAAGCTAGAGGGTCTAGTGTGTGCCTTGATCGGATGCTTCCTTTTTATGCCCACATTCTTCCCTTTTGGAATGGGCATGTTGACACCCTGAGCCACTCTATCTTAGAAGTACGTAACTTCTTTTATTTGTACAGAGCTCACAGCTGAGTTTGCCTTGAGTCTTAGAGGAGACTTCAGACTTGGATTGTCAAGCAGTGCTGACTCTGGAGAGGGCCTGAATGCATTGAACTTTGTAAAATGGACATGAGCCATTGGAGGCTTAGGGATCAGGCCTATGCGTGTAAAGCCCATAGCCTATGGCACTATTGAGGGGTGGTAGGACCTTGGGAAAGCTAGGTCATGGGAGTATGCCTTTGGAGGCGATCCTGTAACCCTGGTCCCTTCCTGATCCGCACAAGCTGACAGTCTTCTACTACTCATTCCCACCATGATGTGCTGCCTCACCATGTGTGCCAGAAAGCCAAAGAACCGAAGAGCCATGGGCTGAAACTCCCAAACTAACGGGTTAGCTAAAGGTTTCCTTTTGCTTATTTCCCCATCTTCTCATCCTCATCATCACCTTCACAATTCTGAGTTCCATAGGCTCGTGGATAAACATCTAGCCTGTCATTCATGTTAACGTTATAATACTGGAAGGTGATGCCTTGTACTTTGCATTCGGGCTGGGCCTCCTTTAGTAATAGATGGTTTTCCATGCCACTGCCTTCATTTTAACAGAGTCTGCGATCAACCATTATCTGACCTCACAAGCCTACATTTATGTTTCTCACCAATAAACCTACTATGGTATATACTCCTCAGTCTCCAATCATCAAAGGTATGTTTTACAGTTTGATTCATCTATATCTCCTAGAAACTTTGATATTTTCTTCTACCTTTTGATGTCCAGAGACCTGTTTTTACTTTCTCCTTCATTAATTCTTGCTAAGACATTCATCTAGTAGCATGATGGATTGTCTCCAGAGTTCCTGTAGAATTTTCTCTAGATTTATCTCAGTATTTTAGTATTTTTCTATTTCAAAAGAAAAGGCCTACCATTTGTGCTTTGCTTCTACCTGAAGTGTCTCAGCCCTTGCCTCTGAAGGCTCCCAGATGGAAGTGAGTGGTTCAATTCTCAAGAGAGTATGTGAGACAGGACTTCCCCTGCCTCCCTATCTAGAAAAGTGAGGATTAGTCAAACTTCTCCTGCCCTAATGGGTAGTCTGTCAGACATTTGTGTTTTTAGTCTGCCAGCTGACTCCTGGCAATGTACTGAGGGTTCCTGAACAGACTCAGAGCTCAGCAATTTATCAACCAGAAGAAGTTTATTCAAGAGAGATTCAGCAGAGACCACTGTAGAATCCCCTACCCCACTACATTGTAATGATATATACACAAAAGGCCTAAGATCAGAGCTACACAGGTAAGACCTAGACAGCATATTGAATGCTGTTGTATGTGTGCAAATGCTATATTTAAACTCAAGCTGGATCATTGTGATGACAAGGGCCTGCCATGGGCTCCAGAGAAGGAATGCACTCTTAACAGATGAGATGAAAATCCTGAGGCAGGAGCACCCATGTTCAGTGGTGAGGACAAAATAAGGAAAAACATATTCAAGGAAATGTTTAGAAGTTTTGTTTGAAACTAGAATTCCCTGTGAGCAGCAAGAGATGGGCCCATGTGTTGCCAGCAGTTAAAAGTTTCCATTTTCATTCTTGAGTTGCTTAAGAGTTTTAGGTTCCTCAAGAGCTCTACATTTGACCACCAAGCAGCCCCCTCAGGGCTCTCCTGTACTTTCTGGATCTGTGCTAGTTTTCCCCTGGGGTGTTATAACCCTCTGTGCTACCAGAAGGATGTGATACTGAGGAAAAACACTGTAGAACATGTGTTCAGTACTTGCTGTAGGTGAGCAAGGAGGGCTAATAAATTAGGCCATGGTAATACTGTTCCAGTAGCAGCTGTAAAAAGGCACTTGTGACATTTAGACCAGTCCATACATGCGTTAGAATAATCCAAGTCCTGCTAAAAAAATTAGCAGACATGGACATGAAATTTCATAAATTCCTAATTTTAATATTAATTGAAAAGTGTTTTGTTATACTTACTGAACTCCTTATACCATCTCTGGATATATAAGACTTTTCACTATTCAACATAATTTATGGTTCTAGTAAACGTTGAGGCCGTGGACCAAAAGTACAGGCCTAATATAGCATTCTTCTCAGATATAAACTGTCTTCTCCCTTACAAACCTGACTTCTGTCCTTCCTTTTGAAGGGATGTGCCAGTCCACAAAGTCAGTGAATTTGGTCTTTTTTTCCCCTCCTGTCACTGTCTTTGGAAATAATTTAAAATGTACAGTTGTGACATAACACCTTTCAAAACAAAAAACCTAAATGTTGCTGATGTTTAAGTAGCTACTTAGAGGAACTGCAAGGCAAGAAATGAAAGGAGGACAAGTTATTGGTTCAAAACTACCAGTCTTTGAAAAGACAATTATCCCAGTTGTGGCTGTCTTAACCCAAGACTGAAGGAGTCTGTCCACTTCCCACTGGGCTCCTCCATGCACACTGTCCTTCGGAGCTTCTTTTAAAAGGTGGCCGCGAAGACTCTCCCGTAAAGGTTGCTCCTACTTTCTTTCGTCAGCTTTACAATACCATGGCCTCCCACACTTGCGTTAACTTCTCTTGGTTGACCGTGTTGAGGATAATGTGGTTTTGGTCATACTGTGCACCCCCTGAAAAAAAGAAAGGGCAGTGAGCAATGTGCCCAGAGAGACAGCAACAGCACACATGCACACTCCATCCCAAGAGCCGTGGAACAAAAGCTGACTGCATAAAACGGCTCCAAGGAAAGAAAATGCAAGAAAAGCCTAAGGCCTGGGCAATGAAGTGGTCAACCTGCCGGAGACTGATGTGAAAACCCATCAGACAGGATATTTTACATTGCAGGTTTCCTTTTTTGTACCCAGTTCTCAGTCACTCTATGTCTAAAACTGAGAAGCAATGCAGGGGTGGGAAATGTAAAGGAGGAAAAAAGCAGAGACACCACTGTATGTTTAGTGGTGAAATGGGTTTGAGAAACTAGTGAGAACTAAGCAGGCAGACCTAGAAAGGCAGTAAGAAGTGGCTATGAAAAGCAACAGATTTTTTCGACATAACATCTTGTACATCTCATTGTTGCAATGGGTCCTCCTGTATCCCTATTTAAACGATTTGTTTTTTCCCTTCCCCTCCACAGATTATATCAACATCAAATACAGTGAAAGCAGGGGTTATACTGTGGGGGAGGGACATACAAAGCAACAAAGAAATCATCTTATAAATGTGTTAGAAACAATTGCATGAAAGAAAAAAAAAACCATTTGAATACATATCTTAGGGTTCATTTCCCTAACATCAACTTTCCTGACCTTTTCTGCTTGACTCAGACATATACTAGTTATTGCAAATAAGGGAAACCATGGGACCTATGTTTCTTTGGGCCTGGCTTATTTCACTTAATATAATTTTTTCAGTATTTTCACAATTAAAGAAAAGCAACAGATTTTGCATGAATAATGGAAAATAGTTGCAATTAGGTAAAAGGCAAGTGAGCACAGGAACACAGAAGCGTTCCTGCTACTTATACAACTTCACATACAACTTGATAGTATTTAAGATGCTGAGTACCACTGTACTATAAAAGTAGGGTCATGGACTCCTCAACTCTCTCTCACTGGAGTGTGTATGAGATGACTTTCCAAAGGTACCTACTAGAAATTTCACATACCTGAGGAGAAAACCAGCTTCATGGCTTCTTCAATACAGAAGAATCATCAACAAAGAAAGGGTTATCTGATTCCCCTCTCCCCTCCCTGCAGTGTGGAATAAACACTTTCAGATACCTTAATCTAATACAGCAAAAGCCTCTCACCAAAGCTCTTCCATCGGGCCCCATAGAAATAAAACTGCACATGTATGCAGGCCATGACTGGGACGGAAATCATAGCTCATCCTCAGGCCAAGGAGTGATCATCTTTCCTTTAAAACATGTAGAGCATCAGAGACAACTTACACGATAGACCTAGGTTGTTAGGGAAGGAGTCTTCCTACTTCCATAAGAAATCATTGTTATCTAGAGGCTCGACCCTGCAGGGTGGAGCAGGAGCACAGAACTCTCCCTGCAAAGTAAGCTGCCACCTGGCTCTTTATAAGCTTGCAATGGGAGATAAGAGTTCCCACCATCAAGACTTAAGTTGGAGTTGAGCCCTGGTTCAAGTGGTAGAACACCTGCCAAGTAGGCATAAGGTCCTGAGTTCAGCAACAATAAAGACACCAAGATTTCAGAAAGCACTAAGGGCCCCAAGGTACCTTACTATATACTTTTTTGTGTGTGTATATTACTTTGATTCTAATTAGAATCATGAAGCCTAAAAAGTGAGAAATAACTTAATTTGGGAGGGAGGGGTTAAATCATCCTAGTTCTTTTATTATTTTCCTGGTTTAGAAAATACTGGACCAGTCAATATAGACAATGGTATGTGAAGAACAAACTTTTTTTTTTTGTGGGTCGTGGGGCTTGAACTCTGGGCTTGGGCGCTGTCCTTGTGCTCTTCAACTCAAGGTGAGCGTTCTACCTCTTGAGCCACAGCACCACTTCCAAGAACAAACTTCTTGATGTGTATTTGGAGATAGAAAGACTATCCTTCAAGATCTGATCGTAGAAGTGAAAACAAAAAATGGATCCACCATTGCCAGTAGGCCAAACTACCACCTGAGTATTTATTCTAAATCACTGTTTACTGCTAATGTACTTGGGAAGAGTTGCTGTGTCAGTTACATGTCAGCTCTTGGCAAGTAGGACTTAAGGAAGAGTAATTGGAACAACTTTTACCTCTTACTTTAATGAAATCATTCTTACTCCCTTAAGTATCAAGAAAGGTGCTGCTGGCATTGTGTGCTTACAGTCCTAGCACCCAGAAGAGACGAGAAGGAGTGGAGAAGGAAAGCTACTACTTGGTTCATTTAGTTTTCATGATCTACATAGCTGTTTGATTGGTTTGCCAGACTTTTCATGTTTTGAAAAGTGAGCATGAATCAGCTCCATTGTAAGACTGGATAATACTTAAATGTCTACCAAAACAACTTACTCCTCAAATATAAGCAGAAGAAAAGCAGCTGATTTAACAAGTCCTATGGCAGTTTTTACAGGTAACAAAAGGTTACTGTGTAGCTAATGAAAACCATGCCTTCCTCCTAAGGGCATCAAAGACAAGAAGCTTGTATTTCCTCTGCACAGGAGGCAGGCTGTGCCCTGCTCTCGCATGTCCAGAAGGTGGCATCATTCATCCACATTCTGAATGTAATTCTGGAACAAGAAAGTAACTATTGTAACTGCTCCAATGGACATGGCACAGAGAATTTGCAAATACACTGGACAAAGTATTAGAGCCTGAAGTGACGCACTCAGGAACCTCTTGGAGCCCCATAGCTTGGAGCCAAGAACATTTCACTGTGGTTCCTCAGTGTCAAGCAGAGAGCCTGCCACACAGAGGCTGCCTAAACAAGACTGCTCTAGAGCCTGGACAGAAGACACTAATCACACTGGAGCAATGCAGAAGTTTGCTCAGCCTTCTTTTGGGGTCTAACCATTCTGATTTTTCTGAATTCCTCAAAATTTCAATTAGTTAATTTCCTTGTCTTCTCTGAGGATCTTACTCTCCTGTGTAGAATGAGGAGCCCTGCCATAAAGTTGGTCATAGTAAGAATAAAGACAGGCCTAGGTCAGTGATTCTTAAATAGTTTGAATCTTAAACCATTTGAATTCCACATTGACTATTCATAAAATGAGTATTCTGCTTGTCTGCTGTACCAATGTAATATGAGGAATGTATTTATTTTCTATATGCTACTTCCATGCATTTTCTATTTCTAGTTTATATTACATTTTGGTCCCCATCCATCCTGCAATCATGGTGTCTAGTTCCTGTGCCCTAAATGCTGTCCTCTGCCTCTCAGCCCCTTCTCACTGCTCAGTCCTAGTGGTTCTAATCTCACAGAGCAGACTAGCCATTCTGCCTACTGGACATTATCAGACTTGAAAGATACTTCGAGTCCCCCTGCAGGTATCAAAGTCCTCGATGAAAATGTTCAGGCTTTACTTTCCATTTTCCAGATCACAGCTATTGCCTGGTGCCGGTGGCTCACGCCTCTAATCCTAGCTACTTGAGCCAGCTCTAGCTATAATTTAGAATGGAGGAGTGAGTATGGTATACTTACATTTTCACGAGTTCACTATATTATAAAGCTTAATCATACCGTCTTTCCTGATAGGGAATAGAAAAGTGCCTAATGATAATTTACAAATTATTCCAGATATGAATAAACACTGCTCCCATTTGCTTTTAAATAGCAATAACACTAGCTTACTGACTTCCCGTGTATAGGTTAGGGGTTGTTTTGTTTATATTGTTTTAAATTTCCATTAACTATTCCCTGGTTCAGCTGGTTCAGGCTAACTACATCTGCAATGCCTAGGTTCTTGTTAGGAAAGTAAATTTTTTTGTCCCATTCCAGATTCCTTGAGTCAGGAACTCCAAAGACTTGGCCCACTAATATGCAGTTTTAAATTCAGGGCCCGGGCTGGGAAGGTGGCTCAGTGGTAGAGCGCTTGCCTTGCATGCATGAGGCCCTGGGTTCAATTCCTCAGCACCACATAAGCAAAAAAGAAAAAAGCTGGAAGTGGCGCTGTGGCTCAATTGGTAGAGTGCTAGCCTTGAGCTGAAGAGCCGAGGAACAGCGCCCAGGCCCAGAGTTCAGGCCCCACGACTGGACCCCAAAAATAAATAGACAAATAAACAAATTCAGGGCCCTACTCTGAGCTATACCTCTAGTCTGTTTTGCTTCAGGTTATTTTTCAAATTTTGTCCCTCCCCCCCCCCCTTTTTTTTTTGCCTGACACCAGCCTGAATCTCAATCCTCCTACTTACACCACCCCATAGCTGGGCTCATGGTGTGTGCCCAACTTATTTGCTGAGAATGGAGTCTCAATAATATCCCCTCTCCCAAGTAGCTGAAACTATGGCTAAGAGGTACCATGCCTGGCCTCAATCTATGGTTTTAAACACGCCTTCTAGATGATCTACTACATATGAAGTTTGAGGACTATTGGCCCAACTTATTCTTTCCAAGCACCATCAATTCACTTTAGATTAACTTAATTGAACACATGTTCCATTGAAATCCTCCTGGCAGTTAATTCTTTTTAGCACTTTTCAATAAAAGGCTACAGGTACCTGGTGCCGGTGGCTCACACCTATAATCCTAACTACTCAGGAGCCTGAGACATGAGGATGGCTATTCAAAACCAGCCTAGGCAGGAAAGTCTGTGAGATTCTTGTCTCCAGTTAAATCACAAGAAACTGAAGTGGGGCTGCAGCTCAAGTGGTAGAGCAAAAGAAGCTCAGGGACAGCACCTAGGCCCAGAGTTCAGCTCAGGACTGGCCAAAAAAAAAAAAAAAAAAGCTGATATATAAATAAGAACTACACTAATAAGAGCACAGCATTTTAACTGTTACTTTTAGTCTCACACTGTTATAAAAACAGGGCTAGGGATGTAGCTCTGTGGTACAGTACATGCTTAGCATGTGCCCTAGTTTGTTTTTTCTTTTTTGTTGTCCCATGGGGCTTGAACTCTGGGCCTGAGCACTGTCCCTGAGCTCTTCAGCTCAAGGCTAGCACTCTACCACTTGAGCTCCAACGCCACTTCCGGCTGTTTTTTTTCTTTTTTGCTTATGAGGTGAACCCAGGGCCTCATGCATGCAAGGCAAGCACTCTACCACTGAGCCACCTTCCCAGCCCCAAGCACTGCTCATTTTCAAAAGTTAGGAGCAGATCTTTTTTTCCCCCTTAAGAAAGGTACAGTGCATTGAAGGAAATTCTCCTTACCTTTGATGTCTAGAACCAGATTTGGTTTTAGCTTGCTGTAGATCCTTCCATCTGACTTCATGCACCAGAACTGACAGTCGACGTTCTGGTCCAGAGCCAGGCCAAGCTTGGAACCAGATGTTACCAGGCTGCCCACAATGGTCAGGCAGCAGTCTTCTGCTATCTGCTCAGTGGAAAACAAAAGTATCTCAAAGAAGGATACATATTAAATCTCAAACTTTATTTACAAAACTAATGTAGTCCCAGGCTTCATTTGTCCTATGTAAGGCATTTGGCTCTTATTCCATATGACATGAGTGATGGACAGTTCTTAATTCCTGCCCATTGTCCAGGAGACTTCTGTCACTCGTAAGACTCCCTGGATAACTGGTGAGAGAGGCCTCAGGAAAGCCACATGGCTGGTGAGGTACTTTTCCCTGGCGGAAGTGACTGAACTGAGCCCAGGTCTGTAGCTTGGTCTCTCCCCGCCACCCCACACCTCCGCATGTCCTGACCTTCCGTATGCAACTGTACTTCTCAATGCCCAAGCACTGGGGTGGCTACAGGGCATTTTATCTCAAAACTTGAAATTGCCTTGATTGGCTTCTTGTCTTTCCTTGGTCAGAAACTCCCTCAGTGTGCTACCCAGCTAGAAAAAGAAAATGCAAGCTCTGTAGAAGCCATTTAAGTGCAAACAATATTGAGGAATCCTTCTTGAAGCCAGTTTACCCTTCATCATTAACAGGGTATGGCAGTCAATGTCCATATACCACTAACACATGGTATTTTTAAAGAAATAGATGGGAAGGGTACTAGTCTGTGCTAGAGATATGCATCCTTTTCTAACTTGTGAGACAGTGGAGTTTGATCCCCATCATTACCCAAAAAAGAAAGTATACTAATTATTCTATGTTGAGGCAAAGCCACTGTGATTATCAATGACATTTCATTTTTTCCTCAGTGAAACTAAAGTTGAATAACATCACTGCAAGGCTATGAGAAGTCATTGCTGAAAGTACCGCTTTCTTGCATCTAAGCAATCCCAAGGCAAAGGGGCTTCTGTGCCTCCTGTTTCTGAGGTACTGAGCCATGCTTCTTTACGAAAGGGTGTTTTCTCAAGCACAACATCCCTGGAGGGCCAGCGTGCTCCTCTCACAAGGCTCTGCCCTTGGATGACTCATGGGCAGTGAGGTTTTAAAGGAGCAGGAGCAAACAGTAAAGCCCATAAAGTCAGGGAGTCAAAAAGATGCCTTCGACGATGAAGCATGAGCTTCACTCATAAAGATCTGATGACGTTCAGCATTTCCATGTCTGCCGTGGCAGGAGGGATGAGAGGGGGATGGGCCATTTCTCACTTTGTCTCCCCACATTTCTCATTGATATCTTAGTTGTACAGGGGGTTTTGCTTTGACATGCCCATATATGCCTACAATATACCTCCATCAGACTCAGCCCCTCTGCCACTCTCCTTAATCCCCCACCCTTTCCCAAGCCCAGCTCTACAAACCATCCTCACACATATGTGAAAACAGAAAATGAAATATTAACCTTTCTTAACCCTCTGTTCACCCTCTCCCACCAGCCCCCACCACAGGACCTGTTTCACCTTCCTGTCATTCATATTTTTGACGTGTGTGCTAATTGTTAAGAGTTTTACACATCATATACAGTGCCTTAATCACATTGATACTCTTGCTTACTCTCACTTCCCCATATTCACTACTCCCTACAGAACCTAAGTCTGAGGGGATTGAAGGGGTGAATCCTGCTGAAATACACGGCAGCCATTTTACAGCATGTGGCCATTAGGAAATGGACCAGGTTGTACACACAGAGGTATTGCTACCCTCCTCTTATTCTGTGGCATTCTCCAACACTGAGAAACCAAGAGTGATTTCTGTCAATTTGCTGGACTACTATGGAAAGGGTCAGAATAGCATCACTTCCTTTAGCTAGCTCTTAAAGCCAGCTTTAGTGGCTCACACCTGTAATCCTAGTTGCTCAGGAGGCTGAAATCTGAGGATCATAGTTCAAAGCCAGTCCCGGCAGAAAAATCTGTGAGATTCTTATCTCCAATTAATCACTTAAAAAAAAAAAAAAAGCTGGGAGTGGAGGTGTGGCTCAAGTGATAGAGTGCTAGCCTTGAGCAAAAGAGCTCAGGGACAACACCCTGACCCTAAGTCCAAGCCCCAGGATTGGCAAAACAACAACAACAACAAAAACTCTGACCTGTGCTAGATGTGCCTAGCATTTTAAGTTCCTAAGATTGGTTGTATCTGAGCTGGGAAACATGTTCATTGGAAAGACCTTCAAATTTGTTCCTGAACACACTCCAGGAACTGTGAGATTAAGTCAACTAGAAGACAGGACAAAGAACAAAGGACAAGTCCCTTGCTGGCTAAGGTACTACAGACCCCATCTCATCTTAAAGCTCACCCTGCATTTGATGCATCCTTCTTGATAAATCCATATCTGGTCATCAGCACCAACATCTTCCATCACCTGTATTCTAAGAAGCTTCAAGTCATCTAAGTTTCCGTTGGTTGACATAAATAACCCTGTTGCTTTGTTTCGAAGTCTGAAGTAAATTCGTTTCTAGAAGACAAAAACCCAGCAATAGTCATACAGAGATGTACTGTTAGAGGAGCTAGACAGACATTAACATTTGCAGAGTCTAACGTGAGGTATGGATGAAGGAGTCAGGTTTTCAGACTTATTTTTTCAGTGATGAGAACTGGAAAGAGCTAGTGGTTCATGCCTATAATTCTAACTACTCAGGAGATTGAGATTTGGAGGCTCATGGTTTAAAGCCAGTCTAGGCAGAAACATGCTCAATACTCCATCTCAAATTAACCATCAGCGAAAGTTCAAGCTGGGGGTATGGCTCAAGTGGAAGAGTTCCAGCCATGAGCAAGAAAGATAAGCAAGTTTAAAGCCCTGGTACTGTCAAGAAAAAAAAAAAAGTAACTGGGCCAGGGAGCCTGTCTGTGGATAACAGAGCTTGGGACCCACCATGTTTGATGTTGGGTTTCAAAGCATTTCTGAACAGCCACACCTCTTTAAGACACAGACAGCCCAAATACTGAGAGGTGGGGGAGAGGCCAATCACAAACTGTATATGAAAACTAAAAAGTTGAATTGCAGCTATTCATACTGGCTCATGGGCTGGAAGGTGGCTCAGTGGTAGAGCGCTTGCCTTGCATGGATGAGGCCCTGGGTTCGATTGCTCAGCACCACATAAGCAAAAAGAAAAAAGCCAGAAGTGGCGCTCTGGCTCAAGTTGTAGAGGGAGGGGGTAATAAGTTGGACAAGAAGTATACTTATTACTTTACATATGTAACTTAACCCTCTGTCTATCACCTTGACAATAAAAAATAATAATAATAAATAGTTCAAGCCAGGTGCCAGTGGCTCACGCCTGTAATCCTAGCTACTCGGGAAGCTGAGATCTGAGGCTCAAGGTTCAAAGCCAGCCCCAGCAAGAAAGTTGGTGAGACTCTTATCTCCAATTAACCACCAGAAAACTGGAAAGTGGTGTTGTAGCTCAAGTGGTAGAGCGCTGGCCTTGAGCTGAAGAGCTGAAGGACCACATCCAGGCTCAGAGTTCAAGCTCCACAATCGACAAAAAAAATAACAAAAGAAGAAAAGAAAAGGAAATAGTTCAGAGATGAGTCTATTTACAAGGCTGGGAAGGTGGCTTAGCCGTACAGTGCTTGCCTAGCATGCATGAAGCCCTCGGTTCAATTATTCAGTACCACATAAACAGAAAGAAAGGGGGGGGGGGGGGAAGGACGGAGGGAGAGTGCATTTGCAGAATAGAAAAGAAAAATGTACCTGAGCAAATGGTCTTAGAGAACCAATTTGGCGGCAGCCACTGAATTCATACCAGTTGGGTACTTCCGCAGGAGACAACAGGAACTGGCGCCCTCTGTAGTTGCCAAACTCGTAAGTAATCCATCTGCACAGAAAAAGAGTGAGGTACTGTCTCAAATTTTTTCCCCCATAAATGTACTTATTACATGGATGGCCTTTATTTTTATATCCTATTGAATTTCAAAATTATTAAAGGATTAAAAATCCTCCCAAGCTGAATTTTAATCATTTGTACAACTCCTGCCAAAGAACAAGCTTTCTCTTAGCTCCATAACCAAAATCGCTGAGAAACTACTCAGAAAAACCCTGAAGTGGAGCTGTAGCTCAGTGGTAGAGCACTAGCTGTGAGCAAAAAACAGCTCAGGGACAACACACAGGACCTAAATTCAAGCCCCAGTGTACACATGTGCAAACACGCATGCACACGCGTGCACACACACACACACACACACATACACACTGACATATACTACATATATCTTTAAGGCCAGATGTGGTAACATGCCTGTTACCCCAGCAGTTAGGAGGCTGAAGCAGGATTATGAGTTTAAGAACAGCCTGAGCGGATAGTGAGATGTTTCTTTTTCTATTTTTTTTTTTTTGGTTCCAGACTGGGACTTGAACTCCATACCTGCCACCATTTTCGCTCACTAGCTAGCACTCTAAAAACTAGCCATGCCTCCAACCTTGTAAGGTATTTCTTTAAAAATCAATAACGTATTTTATTAGGTTAACAAGTAGTGAACTTACATGCCCCCAATAACCTGAACAGATCGTATTTGTGTGTTGAATCCCAGTGACTGGAGATTAACTGTTTCAGCATTAAGTTCAATCTTTTTTCCTTTGAAGTTTTCTCTTTCGAAAAGAATAATTGCTGGTTCAGAAAATTCCTGTTTGGGAGCAAAAATCATGTTCTGTTAATAATTCAAAGTTTATATAAAAATGATCCAGTTACAAGGACAAAGCCACAACCTGCCAGATTGACTGATTCATACACTCTCTTTCCCAGGAGCCTGGGTTATTTCCAGGTTCCAAAGCTAACAGGAAGCATGGAGGGGCCGGAAGTGTTTCCACTGCATGTATAGGACGGCTGATGGAAGCCACATTATAAAAGAAAATATACCAGGCACAGAGAAACAATTATAAGCGTGGAAATATGAACACTTCTGATGCAATTTATATGCATCTATTTTTCCTTTTATTTGCAAATTCTTTATTCTGATTAAGTGAACACATAATTTCACAGTATTGTGGGATAGTGAAGGCTTAGTTAAAGTCACAAACACGTTCTAACTTTCATAAGGCAAATTGTCTATCGTGGTCTATAAAATTTATGAGTTCTATGAGCTTTGACAATACAGTTATTTCTTCTACATCGGGTGATATGTACGTTTATTTTTCAATGGAAGCCATGGGCATAAACGGTAAGGTTCACAGAGCTGTGGTAGCCTGGTATACAATGGCACAGCGGAGTCTGCCCTTGCACGTGTTTTCAGATGTCCTTTGTTTGAATTGGCAACATGACAAGGATTTTTGTCATGCTTGTGAACCTTCCTGTAGGGGTCACTGTCCAGGATGGGCGGGGAGAAAGGGGGTGTGCAGAAATAGAGGCCACATGTTTAAACTTGACCATGATTGCATGGTAAAGAGAATTAAGCACATATACCCACTGGTTTCAGTAAAACAAAAAACAGCAGCCTTTGTTTGTTTAAATTAGGAATTTGACCTTGAACTAAATATCTGAGAACAATATTCCTAAAATAAGAAAATATATGCCAAAAAAGCATGTGGGATTACAGTGGTTTTCCTACTTGCTTAAAGTTGTGTAGCAAAAATATGGCACTTTCTGGCTTCATTTGTATGATGTGTCTGTGTAGGAGACTGTCTCATCAGTAAACAGAGGAGGTAAGTGAATGTGAGTATGTGTGAGTGTGTGTGTGTGTGTGTGTGTGTGTGTGTGTATGTGTGTGTGTGTGTGTGTGTACAGAAGTGGAGTATACTATCTAGGAATTAGCTTATATAAAACATACAAAAAGGAGACAACAAAGATTATAGCAGCATTGCATTATTACTCTGTACATTTAGTGTGTTTTTCTTTGATGGCATGCCAAAAATGTTCTAAATACTCAAGTTTCGTATCAGACGTCAGTAAAACAATTTGGAAGTATTAAGTTACAATTAAAAATGTGAGCTGAGCATGGTGGTACATGCTTATAATCCTAACACTTGGGAGATGGAGATAGGAAGATTCTGAGTTTGAGCCCAGCATAGACTCAAACGGGTCACAAAAGAAAAAAATACATAGAGAATTAGGGATGTAGCTCAGAGGTTATTTTTGCCTAGCATGCACATGGCTCCAGGTTCATTCTCATATGCAAACACACACACACACACACACAAATTTGTGTGTGTGTGTGCGTACGCACGCATGTGCGTGTGCGCACTCACTTGCTCTTGGGTTTGAACTTTGGCCCTGGGTGCTATACTGAGTTTTTGCTCAAGACCAGCACCCTACCACTTGAGCTACACCTCCGCTTCCAATTTTTAGTGGTTAACTAGAGATAAGAGACTCACAGACTTTCCTGCCCAGGGTTGGCTTTGAACCTCAATCCTCAGATATCGGCCTCCTGAGTAGCTAGGATTACAGGCCATGAGTCACCAGCTCTCGACTATCTGCCTCCAATGTTAATTCCTCAAGAAGTTTTAGCTGCAATGTGAAGCATCCATTTCTGTAAGGCTGTATTCACTGACAGATGTACTTACAACATCTATAAAACGAAGAGACTTGAAGGTTGCTCCAGGCAGGAGGCCCATTGCAGAGAGGCAAGGATAGTGTCCTTCCTCCAGCACATACTGATTTCCAGAGAAATTTTCTCCATCGTATGCAACCCAGCTGCAGTAGGGGAAAAAAAAAACAACACAGTATGAAATTTGAATATTCCTATTTAAAAATAGGATTTTTAGAGGCAGTCTATTAAAAAAAAAATCAACCTAACTTGTAACTCAGTGTTCTTTCTTTGAAAATATCTGGGTATATTTACAGGATTTCATCTTATGGCAAATTAATATTCCTTAATCAGTGGACTTGGCAGTTAGATTTAAAACTTCCTTCTCTGTGGAATGGCCCACGTTTTGATTCTCCCACCCCCAGTGCCACCATACTTCCACCAAGGTGGCTTCAGGCCTTCGGACATCTTTCTTTGTCAAACGATCTCTCTTCAACCCTTGTAGGTGGTCAGTCACTATAGTTTATCCATATCTTCTGAAAATTTCTCTCACTATTCTCTTTTCCTTATTTCCAATCCCTCTGTCCTAGACCAGGACTGAAAGCATCACTGTGACATGAATACATCACTGGGTTTCTCAGGGCCTTTTCTACCTTCTTCCAAGAAGTTGTATGTTTTTCTCTTAAATCCAAAAGGTGCTCACTGAAGACTAATTGCATGTCAGTTACTTTCCTATTGCTAGAAATGCAGCACAGAACAAAACGGAGTCCCTGTCCACTTGAGGTACCTATTCCAGTGAGCCAAAACAGACACTAACTCAGCAACAAAACACACACATCTGGTAGTGATAAATGAAGCAGGGCTGGGAGGTAAAGAACTCAGGGTGGGTGGGCTGAAGGTAAGAAATGGAAGCTTCACACTCAGTCTGGATTTGAGTAAAAGGCAAGAGCCCTTTCGCTGCGCACTGCTAACTGGGACAATGGCATCTCAGCCATAAAGACCCACAGGACTGACTGCAGCTGTTATTATCACTTCTTTACAGATGGCTCCCAGGGTTTCCTGAGTTTCTTTCACCTCAGACTTTACCTTTCCTCATGAAGCTTTTGTAAAACTATTGCATTCAGCCTGGAAAGCTGAGTCTATTGCTTTTGTCCCATTTTATGTTTCCTGTAGCATCCACTGAGAGTGGAGAGTCTTCATAGATGATCTAATGGCCCAGTCCATGCTGGCTTCACTCCTGCCTAACAGAAAACCCTCGTAGGCTGGGAATGTGGCTGGCCTTGGTCAGCACACACACATCACCTCCCCTTGCCTATCACATACAGGGCCTACCCTACTCTTGTAAGCCTGTAAAAATGCTGGCCTAGGGAGGTACCTTAACAACCACCTCAAGTCCAGCTCTCCTTTTCCAAATGATGGAGCAGGCATTAAGAATACATAGCCGGGCGCCAGTGGCTCATGCCTGTAATCCTAGCTACTCAGGAGGCTGACATCTGAGGATCGTGATTCAAAGCCAGCTAGGGCAGGAAAGGCCATTAAACTCTTATCTCTAATAAACCACTAGAACACCAGAAGTGGCATGTGACTCAAGTGGTGGAGCGCTAGCCTTGAGCTGAAGATCTCAGGGACAGGGCTCAGACCCAGAGTTCAAGCCCCATGACCAACAAAAAATAAAAATAAAAATAAAGAATACAGGGGCTGAGAAGGTGGCTCAGTGGTAGAGCGCTTGCCTTGCACGCATGAAGCCCTGGGTTTGATTCCTCAGCACCACATAAGCAGAAAAAAAAAAGCCAGAAGTGGCGCTGTGGCTCAAGTGGTAGAATGCTAGCCTTGAGCTGAAGAGCTGAGGGACAGCACCCAGGCCCAGAGTTCAGGCCCCACAACCAGGCCCCCCCACAAAAAAAGAAAGCCTGGCTAGATTCCACTGCACGCTGGAGCTATCTTTACTTCCCCCACCCACGCTGTCTAGACTTTAGTGCTGCAAGGCATACTTTCACACACACACACACACACACACACACACACACACACACACACACACACACACACACACACACACACACACACACACACACACACACACACACAGAGCAGAGTAGCTTGGCTTCATGTGGTGCCATGCCCCTAGCAGGTGTTATCAAGTACTTGTTGATGTGTGAACTCTACCCCCTTTACTCCTACAATCTGGCTCTGACACACCACTGTTTGCTTACCTGCCTCCCAAAATTCTGCAAGATTTAGTTGAAAATGAATCATCAATTTGACCTGTAGTCTCTTCAAAACTTTGACTTTGACCTTGAAACTGTGGTTCTGAAAACAAGTGAACCTTTGAAAAAGTAAGCAGAAACACACAAAATTATTCTCTGAAACATGCCCAAACTCAACTTTTGAAATGATAACCCAAACCTGACATGCTAATTCTTGTTACAATAAGCAGGTGTGAATTTTATATATCCTTTAAGTTTTTACTTCATCATTAATGATCAATTAGAAACATGGTGGCTGAGCCATGTAAGGAGATTTAGTTGAGACCTCAAAGGAAACCCAACAATAGAGGTGACTTTCTATAGCACACCCTGTTGTTAATAAGCTGTGAGGCGTTACGAAGCTTTCTTGTGGCCAAAACTAATTGTTCATCAGGTCTAACATGAACAATAAACTGTATTTTGGAACCATGTAATATAGTTTTCCTTCCTCTCCATGGAAGATACTTGCTGATTTATCAAAATCATATACAGGCCAATAAAGGCAGCTATGCTGATATTTGTGCCTTTATAATTATGGCTGTCTGAACACTTCCATTAAAAAAATCTACCTAACAAATGGAATACTCCAGATGATTTCAGAGTCAGCAACCAAAAGGCTTGAGTGAGACTATATAAAATGTCTGTCTAATGCAGACACAGCAAATCTGAAAACTAATGCTACTATTTATCATAATTAAGTCATTGCTTGGAATTTCTTAGTATACTAATGTAAACTCTGATTCAATGTTCTGATATAAAGTTTTGCTTTATATACAGTACTTGTATATACCTTATATACAGTACTTGGGTTAATGCTATCAATTAAGAATTAGAGCTTAATTTATCTTATTTTTATTTATTTATGTTTTGGTTGTAGGGCCTGAACTCTGGGCCTGGGCGCTGTCCCTCAGCTCTTCAGTTCAAGGCTAGCGCTCTACCACTTGAGCCATAGTGCCACTTCCGGCTTTTTTCTTTTTGCTTATGTGGTGCTGAGGAATCGAACCCAGGGCCTCAGGCATGCAAGGTAAGCACTCTACCACTGAGCCACCTTCCCAGCCCAATTTATCTTATTTTTAAAATGCAATTATCTTTTGGAACATAAAAATGGGTAAAACTAACAACTAAAATGTCCCAAATAATTAATACTTTACACATATGTGAATTCAGTTTTTTTAACAGGAGGCCTTAGATGATAAAATGCTGATTCTTATTTTTATTTATTTATTTTTGTTGTTGTTGTTGGTTATGGGACTTGAACTCAGGGCCTGGGCTCGGTCCCTGAGCTTTTTGCTCAAGGCTAGCACTCTACCACTTTGAGCCACAATGCTACTTCCAGTTTTCTAGTGGTTAACTGGAGAAAAGAGTCTCATGGTCTTTGCTGCCCAGTCTGGCTTTGAACCATGGACTCTCAGATCTCAGCTTCTTCAGTAGCAATGATTACAGATGTGAGTCACTGGCAGTGAGCTTACAGATTCCTTTTAAAAATTACCTGATTTCGTCTCCGTGGGCCAGCAAAAGAATCCTAAAATTAAAGAAAACAAAATGAATAGGGTATGTTGAAAAGTTTTTCTTCCATATCATTAGTAAGTTCTGCTAAGGATCACTTCAGAATATTTTCTGTAGCAATCAAGATTACATGAACCAGAAACACATAAAGGAAATCCTGGTTTCACTGTAGTATTCTCATATGAAAATTAACTCCTTACCAAACATATGGGCTGGACAGAAGAGATCTTACAATTTTTTCCTCCCCAGTCCTCAAAACTGGTGTAAAGACCTTTATCCAGAACATACTGCTCTCCTGTGAAGTCAGGATTTTCATATGCTACCCATCTAAAGAAACACAAACACTAGTTATGGCTCATATTTTACACATAACACCTATCACATCTGGCTGATGTGTATATATTTCATACAGAAATATCCATCCATTTACTAGTCAATACCATAATTTTCTGGCCTTGTTAACTATTAGGAACAGGCTGGATTTGTCTATATGATAAATCAAGGTGATAATGAGAAAAAGGATATTTTGCTTTATATGCTTTATTTGTGGGGTTTTTTTTGTTTTGTTTTGTTTTGGGTCCAGTTGCGGGGCCTGAACTCTGGGCCTGGGCGCTGTCCCTCAGCTCTTCAGCTCAAGGCTAGCGCTCTACCACTTGAGCCACAGCGCCACTTCCAGCTTTTTTCTTTTTGTTTATGGGGTGCTGAGGAATCGAACCCAGGGCCTCATGCATGCAAGGAAAGTGCTCTACCACTGAGCCACCTTCCCAGCCTCTTTTTTTGTGTTTTCATTCATCAGATCTTTATTCTTTGAGAAAATTCCAATGAGAATAATTCTCTGTGGGATTTTTTTTCCTTTCTACTTTAAGGAAATAAATTCGACTTTCAGAAATTGCCTAGTTCTTTTAAATTAAACAAGGAAGAATTCTTGTGTGTTATCAACACAAAGATTTAAAAGATCTTAACAGGAAGCTATATGTCTATTAAATATCAAATCACACTGCAGAACAAAAAAATGAAATGGCTGGCACCGGTGATTCACACCTGTAATCCTAGCTACTAAGGAAGCTGAGATCTGAGGATGGCAGTTCAAAGCCAGCCTGGGCAGGAAAGTCTGTGAGACTCTTTTTTTTTTGGGGGGGGGGGGGGGTCCAGTCGTGGGGCCTGAACTCTGGGCCTGGGCGCTGTCCCTCAGCTCTTCAGCTCAAGGCTAGCACTCTACCACTTGAGCCACAGAGCCACTTCCGGCTTTTTTCTTTTTGCTTATGTGGTGCTGAGGAATCGAACCCAGGCCTCAGGCATGCAAGGCAAGCGCTCTACCACTGAGCCACCTTCTCAGCCCCACTGTGAGACTCTTATCTCCAATAAACCACCAGAAAACCATAAGTGGTGCTATGGCTCAAGTAGTAGAGCGCTAGCCTTGAGCTGAAGAGCTGAGTGACAGTGCCCAGACCCAGAGTTCAAGCCCCACAACAGACAAAAAAAAAGTTAAATGCTAAAAAAAAAAAAATTGTTCCCAACAGTATTTCCCATATGACCCAATAACATAATAAACAAAATCAATCACAGAAATATCAGAAACAAAGACTTTTTGGAAAGTTTTCATTTGTCAACTTTTCAATGACCTACATTCAAAGAAGAAAATCAATGAAACCAACTTACACTATTGCTACCCAAAGGTAAAGTCTTTGAGGGGAAAAAACCTTTGATTCTGTTGCAGTGCAGAAATACCTAGGCTCTACTTGTACCAGTTTATTGCTGTACCAGCCCTCTCCCAACTGACAGGAATAATATCTGTCTATGTGGAACTTCCCCCAAATGCCTTCACATCTATCAAATCACATTTATCTTAAGGAGATACTGGCATGCTCATTTTATAGATGTGAAAACCTAAAGACATAAAAAGTGAACCTATTTGTTCATTCGATAAACGCTGGAAAGCCATTTGCCCTGTGCCAGGAATGACGAAGGTGAAAAATACCAACTGCCTGAAGTGGACAGATGGCTCAGAACCATCATAAGGAATAGTTGGTGCTTTTTCTAAGGTCTGGTGACAACCAGTTAGTGGCCATAACATGGCTGGGGCTGCAAAATTTAAAGGTCACCAAGCATTCTACTTTATGACCTGCCTCATAAAGTTCCCTTTCCTTTACTATTCTAGTAAACCACACCTAAGAGTCTATATCCTTCATAATTAAAAGACCCAATTTTACTATCTAGGTAGTTGATTAAACCAAAGCACAAGTATAGTCATTACCAGGAAATAAGCAGCCATCAAGGAGAAAAAGGGGAAGCTGGGTAAGATGGCCACACCTTTGCCTTCAGCTACTCAGAAGGCTAAAGGCAGGATTTTGGTTTGAGGCCAGTACAAGCAAAAATTCATGAGGCCTCTTTCTCATCTAACAGCTCAGTAGTGGCCTGTGCACATCATTCCAGCTGTGGTGGGACCTGTAGAATAGGAGGATTACAGTCCAAATATGCTCCTGGGCAAATAAACAGTGAAAAAAAAAAGCCACTGGAATGACTCAGCTTGTAGATTGCCTGACTACCAAGAGTAAAGGGCAGAATGCATACCCTACTACCCAAAATTTAAAACAAGGAAGCCAGGTGCTAGTGGCTTCACCTATATTCTTAGCTACTTTGTAAGTTGGGATCTGAGGATCATAGTTCAAGGACAGCCTAGGCAGTAAAGTCCATGAGAGCTGGTAAGGCTATTCAACAACATGGGCTACCTTTAGCGCTTTCTCCACACACAGCCTTCGGCTACCTTCACAACAATTATTAACAAAAGAATTAAGAATATAACAAAATCCAGGGATTCCAAACAAAAACAAAGATAGTAAGTTGTGACACAAAAGATTTCCCCCAACATCCAGGTAAGCCTGTCTAATTCACTGAGGCTGAAGCAGGAAAATAGCTTATTAAAATGTTTCCTAAGCTCATGCCTGAGTAGCTAGCTACTCAGGAGGCTGAGATCCGAGGATCGAGGTTTGAAGCGAGTCAGGCAGAAAAGTCCATAAGACCCTCCAACCACCAAAAAGCTAGAAGTTGAGCTGTGGCTCAAGCTTTGAGTGACAAAGCTCAGGGATGGCACCCAGGCTCTGAGTTCAAGCCCCAGTACTGGCACACACACATATGCAAAAAGATGTTTTCTATAGAAAGTAGCAATGTTCTTTCTGGGCACAGCACTGAGTGAATGAGGAGCAGGAGGAGAGGAGGATGAACCCCAAATGCCTGGATGTGAGAGTCTGCCCTATCTATGGTGCAGAGTTGACATATAATTAGGAATCTTAAAAACATACCTGGCTGGGCATGTTCACATGGATTCTGTGCACATAAATCCATACTTCTCTGCTTAAAGGTGAATGAGGGGAAGGGAGAGAGGCAAGGACAAGTGTTAACAGGTCCCATCTCGGCCTCCTGAAGTAACTGTACATATAATAAAGGCAGCGGGGCAAACCTGCCCTTCTGGGGAAGGCTGAAGGAGAAAGAACTGCAAACAACAGCCCTTTTGCTTTTTATCTGAGCTCAAGAAATACTTCACTTTACCTTTTTGTTTTTAAAGCAGTTGCCCAGTTTGCACTATATGAGCTGGAGTAGAGCACAGAACTAGACACTGATGAGAAGCAGAACTGTAACAGGAGTCTGACACTCCAGGAAGAAATGGAATGCAGGCCCCCAAATCTTCAATTGTTTCCTGAGCTTCCTTCAAGGCTGTTGCTGCTGGAGAGCTAATAATGAGTTTGCCACCTGGAAAATTTAGTACCCAGGTGATATTGAGTCTCCTGGGAGATACTTTCACAGAGCAAGAATTTCAAGAGGTTTTTTTGGTCGTCTTTGATTTTTCTGTTTGTTTTCCTAACAGGGCTTGGTGGCAAATGCCTATAATCCTAGCACTCAGGTGCATGAAGCAGGAGAATAGAGACTTCTAGGCCAGTCTGGGGTACAAAGTGAGATCCTGTCTCCAAAAGCAAAACACCACAACAAAGTAAGAGTTTTCTGACTTTGACTGCCATGCTAAAAAATAAACAACATAGCATCTTAGATGCTTATTTACTAGTAATATTAAAGCCATTTAAATGAAACAATTTTCCTTTGAAACTTAAAAATGAATAAGCTAGGGTGTTCAAGTGGTAGAGTGCTTGCCCTAATTCAATACTCATTACTGGAAAAAGAAAAAAAAAGTTAGTTTTCCTCCTTATCTTGGTGCATCTTAACCTTCCCTCCTCCAAAAGTCTTATCTGCATCTAGACTAAAAATTTGTCTCTCTGCTGTGCATTTCTAAAACGTTTTAACTTCTTCTTTTTTTTTTTTTGGTCAGTCATGGGGCTTGAACTCTGGGCCTGGGCGCTGTCCCTCAGCTCTTCAGCTCAAGGAGAGCGCTCTATCATTTGAGCTACCACCCACTTCTAGTTTTCTGGTGGTTTATTGGAGATAGGAGTCTCACTGTCTTCCTGCCTGGGCTGGCTTTGAACCGAGATCCTCAGATCTCAGCCTCCTGAGTAGCTAGGATTACATGCGTGAGCCACCAATACCCAGCTAACTTCTTCTTTTTTTTGTAGCAATAATTATTTGTGGTTTGCGTAAACAGCGTAACGTCTCCGAAGACATAATATGATGCTTTGCATACACAATAAATATTTATCAAAATGGCAAACTAAAATGAGGGAAATGAGGAAGCAGCTGATCTGGTAACACAGAAGGCCTTCTGCAAACAGAATTTAAAGGAAGTGTGAACCTGTATGTGTGCCTCCTTCAACTTCCCCCCAATACCAAAACTCAGCTGCTACAATCAGAAAAAAAAAAAAAAAGAATGTCTAAGCCAGGAAATACAACTGGGAATGCTAAAAACAAAAACAGAAAAGCAATATGTTGTAATGGAAATTGATTTCAAGTAAGCAGGGTCTGGGGAGTAAAGAAAGGACTGGTTCAACTCAGTAACACTACCTGTCCCAACAGCGCAATCTATACCAATGTCTACCCAGCATCCTTTGTGGCCACTTTGCCAGAGTAGATAGATGACTGGCCTATGACTCATAGAACCAGCACACCTGGTGAGGATCAAATGCACAACTCTTTCACCAGTCACTGAAATTTCCTGTTAAATAATTAGCTGTAAAGGTAGAGCCACTGTACCATTTCAAATGCCTACTGCCATACATCTCATTTCAGATGAAATGGAGACAGCCAACTATGATCTACCATACCATGGCTTCAGAACAGGACCTTAATAAAAGGCATTTTAAGTCTGGAAGACCCAGATGAGACCGCTGTCATTCTGGCAAGATGGCACCACAAGCAAGAGCCTACACAAGATGTGCTGACTAACAACAGAAAGATACTTCATTGAGGCCTACCTCACATAAACACAAAATACAACAGGGTTGAGGCTGGACTGATTCAAATAAGCCTGTGTCCCTCAGTAACACATGAAACAACTAACATCAACCACTTTCAACAGAACCAATGTCATTTTCCCCCCATTTATCCAGAAGAAACTTCTCATATCGGAAAATAAACCAGACATCAGCTGGACCATGACAATGATCATGCAGTTCCCACTGTAGACACTGGCTGTTAGGCCACATGGGATCTACCTGCCCTCCTTATGGTCCTGGGACCAACCTGGGATGGCACATCTCCCAGGCACAGCCAGTGCCTGGGTTCAGGTATGCTCATGTGATTTTCACCTAGGCAGCAGGTCTAACCTAGAACTTATGAAGCAAAGAGCACTCTTTCTACCGCAATGCAATGAGGTGGGAGAGCAAAAATTCAGGGTAAACATAGACCACCAGATGGAAGGGGACAGCCTAAGGTTAAACCAACATGAAAGAAGCTCAGGCAAGACACAGCAACTAAGTTCTGAGGACTCTGAAATAAAATCTTCTCCAAGACAATTCACTTCCTAAGCCAATGAGTTCCATTGTTATCACTTGCTCCAATTAAGATTGGCTCATAGCCACTTATATTCCCGAGAGTTATCTCTCTCATTGGTCCTCTTACAATAAAAACTTGCTTTGCTAGACTGGGAAGATAGCTTAGTGGTAGAGTGCTTGCCAAGCATCCATGAAGCCCTGGGTTCCATTCCTCAGGACCACATAAACAGAACAAGCTGGAAGTGACACTGTGACTCAAGTCATAGTGTTAGCCTTGAGCAAAGGAAGCTCAGGGACAGTGCCAACACTCTGAGTTCAGGCCCCCGGACTGCCAAAACAACAACAACAACAACAAAGCAAAAAAACAACAAACTTGCTTTGCCATTAACAAAACATTGGGCTGGGTATGGTGGCACACATCTATAATCCCAGCACTCAGGAGGCTGAGGCAGGATGATCATGAGTTTGAGACCAACTTGAACTACATAGGCAGACTCTATCTCAAAACATACATACATCACACAGGTAGTACCACCTCCTTGTACAGACCTATAAATGCAATAAACCACTGAGCTGTTAACTCCAGGGAAACTGAAATAATGATTTTATTGTGTGTATTTGATTATGTTAAAATAACAATGAGAAACACACTGGAGCAGGTGGAGGACCACAGGAAAATTTAGTGAGATTTTGTTCCAGCCTCAGGTTTTAACGTTAGAGGACTGTTATCTCATAAGATATTCAGGATCTTTTTATAATGAATGACACAGGAAGTGGATCTGTAGATTTCTGTCATGATACTCGAAAGCCTACTTCAGTGTTCTATTACATGAAAAGAAAAGATTATATGAGAAATATTTGTGAAGCAACATGACAGTAAGTATTAAACGGCAGAATTGGTGTTTAGCTGGCGAGATAGCTATCTGCTAAGTGCCCACTCTGTGTTACATACTCTACTAGTTTACCCCAAATCAAGACAAAAACCAAGTTCAGGATCAGGACTGGAGGATTTCACTTACACTCCACTCAGCACATGAATAGACTGGGTCTTCACGCCATATCCAGTGTCCTTTAAATTAGCCACAATTCCTAACACGTCAATACTGGAACCTTTGGAGCCGAAGTTTTTTTCACTGTACATGATCATATGTGCATTTGAAAAATCCTATTAAGAAAAAAAATCAAAATTCAAAGGGGAGTCATTTATCACCAAAGAGACTGAGTCCTAACCATTAGCTTTTCTTTAACTTACACCTAATATAGGTCGCAAAGACTGAAGTTCTCCATTGTAACCGCCCCAGTCTTTCCAGTCCTTGTATTCTCCTTCTTCTAGTAAATACTGGTGACCAGTAAAGCCAGGCTTCTCATAAGCTACCCAACTGCAAAGAAAGAGCAGCACAGAGTCATGGTTTGCACTTCTCTTGTGCACAGCAGGGTCATGACAAATATCAATAGCTATGAAGCTAGTCATAAACTTGTCTTGTTACTGGAATTCTCTAAAGTTTAGGAAAACAGTACATAAAAAAACGAACTAAGGGCTGGGAAGGTGGCTCAGTGGTAGAGCGCTTGTCTTGCATGCATGAGGCCCTGGGTTCAATTCCTCAGCACCACATAAGCAAAAAGAAAAAAGCCGGAAGTGGTGCTGTGGCTCAAGTGGTAGAGCGCTAGCCTTGAGCTGAAGAGCTGAGGGACAGCGCCCAGGCCCAGAGTTCAGGCCCCATGACTGGACCCAAAAACAAACAAAGCTAAGAAATATACACCTGGACTGATGGCATGGGTCAAGTGGTAAAGAATCTGCCTAGCAAGTGGAAGGCTGTCAGTTCACACTCTAGTACTGCTAGAAAAACAAAAACAAAGCCAGGTGCTGGTGGCTCACACTTGTAATCCTATCTACTCAGGAAACTCAGATCTGAAGATTGTGGTTCAAAGCCAGCCTGGATAAATAAATCCAAGATACTCAGATCTCTAATTAACCAACAAAAAGCCAGAAGAAGTTAACATTATCCCCACCTCTGGTCCTCAGCTCCACCTACACCTGAGCTCCTCCCTGCCCTAGAGTTCCGGCCATACAGCTGGCCACTCCCTCTCAGCCCGGATCTACCTGTGCGTATACCTGCCTCACTACCAGCCCCAGACCTACCTGCCACCTGGATAGGGGCAGACGCCATGGGCTCCCTCTTCCTGGGGAAATTTCACCTCTGTAATAAACCTTATAATAATCTTTCTCCTGTGCCTCCCTGCCTCTGCGTGGTCCCTTGGGATGGCCATGAAGGATTCTAACAGTAGAGGCATAGCCCAAGTGGTAGACAGAGCGCTAACCTTCAGCAAAAAAAGCTAAGGGACAGCACCCAAGCTTCGTGTATAAGCCCTAGTACTAGCAAAAACAAAAGAAAAGAAAAAAACAGAAGAGAGATGAAAGAGAGAATGGCACAGAGAGACAGAGAGAGTGAGAGGGAGGGAAGGAGGTAGATAGGTAAGGAAAAGGGGAAAAAGGGAAAAAAAATAAATCTACTATACCTTAGAATCAGGAATGTTATTTTGGGGAAAAGAGGTCATTTATTACTTTATCAAGGATAAATGAGAAATCCTTACCAGTTACTTCTCTACTTACATGCCTCTTAAAACTTTCATAGATCCCACTGATGTAAAAGGTAAATGACCATTTCCTGTTGTTTTTTCTGGTTCGCCTTCTTCTGTGATAAAACTACACATTTCTGTTTCTAGCTCCATACATTTTCCTTCAAACAAAGGCTTTTCATAAATGACTACCTACAACAGAAATAAGATATTTCAGTAGCATGTAAGAAGTTAACTATCTCAGCAGCTGAAATAAGTTAGCCATTTCAAGCAGAAACATCTAGAACACAAATTCTCTGTATTTTCAATATAGACCATTTCCATTTTGACTATATTTTCTATATAAATTTTTATTTTCAATATAATTTTAATGACATAATTTTCAATTAAATAAGTAACAACAACTAATAACAAATAATAACTTAAAATAACTTATTGAGCTTTTTCCCTGCCCAGATGTTGAACAGTCGGTTCAAAAGATAGTTGGTTTTATAGTTTGTTTTGGGCCAGTCCTGAGGCTTGAACTCAGGGATTGGGTGCTATCTCTGAGCTTGTTTGCTTAATGTTTACACACTACCACTTGAGCAACAACTCCATTTCTGGCTTCTTAGTGTGTAACTGGAGATGAGTTTCAAGGACTTTCCTGCCCAGGCTGACTTTGAACCATGATCCTTAGAGTTCAGCCTCCCAAGTAGCTAGGATTACTGGCATAAGCTATGGGCACCTGGCTCTATTTTCCTTAGTAACGATTTTTTGTTTAAAGTTGGGAACTGATATTTAGTACACTGCTTAGATGAAACTAAAGAAGCCAGCCTAGGCAGACAAATCCAAGAGACTCCCACAGACAACTACATAAGCAACAAACATGGCATAAGTTGAGAGAATATCAATAGCAGAAAGAATTATTTTGGAGTAGGAAAAATGTGTCTTGAAGGAGTTTCTTCTTGGCTATGGGCAAGCAGTGACAGACCTATGCAATTAGCAAATACAGCCAGAAATAATAAACTCAATGGAACAATGAGCCTTGAGGGGTGTGGCTCCATATCCTGTTAAATGATACCAAATGTCCCAGGATCTTCTACCAGCCTGTGGATGCGTGCGGAACTGAGGCCTGCCTCCTCTGGGTGTATCAGAGTGGGTTGGAAATTGGTGTACGCACAAGTCACATGAGATGGAAGAGGAATAAAACCACACACACATGTGCACACACAACAAACACACTTACCTTTGGATCTGTAGGGAATTCAACTTTACGGCCACCCTGGGGGAAAAAAATAACATAGGAAGAAAACTGATTTTTCATTGCTGCATTACCATTTATGTTACCCACACCGTTGAACCATTCATTTACATAAGATGATGCTAAAGTTACCAGTAATGGAGATGAAGACATGAGAAACACAGCCTAGACAGACTCAGACAGGATATATAGGCTGAATGTGTATGGGAGATTTTTTTTTTCAACTTAGAAAATTTCTCATTAACCAATCTGTATTTTTCATTTGCTTGCCCAACAATCATAGATCTGGCCACCTGTGAACCTAAATCCTCATCAGCAGCCACCATTATCTATGGTTTATTCTGCCCCAGGCAGGTCCTTAAACAGCAAGGGCATTAGCTAGCTAAGCTACCTCCACCTCTCCCCACAGTTCCTCTACTAGCCAGCCTCCCCCACCTGCATTTCCTGCCTGGCTCTAAGAGCCTGGCCTATAAAACTGCTTAAGTTCACACATGCAATCTGGAGGATGGAGAAATAATATGATATAAACTATTAGATAGCACTTAAAACATCCCAAAGGAGGGTGTGGGGGAGGTTGTTATACTTTTATAATTAAAACAGACTAAAAATAAAGAAAAGGTTAAAATAGTACACAGGCCAAGTTAAAAGTCAGCAGTGGGAAAAGTCAGGACCTCTCTCACCAATATACCTTTAACAGCTTTGAAAAACTGCTGTTCAGGATGTTCAAAAGCACCTAATGAGCTGTGATAATGAAGGGTTGGGTCTGGTTTTGCTCAGCAGACCAGAGCTTATAGAACCAAATAAATACCCCTTTAAAAGGAACCCTTTTCAGAAAGTATACATTCACAGGTTGAAAATGATTCTTGTATCTGTTTTCAAAACCCCATCCTACATTCACATAAGTAGAAATTAAAATTTAAAAACCTGAAATATTTGCAAGAAACATTCAGATGTTTAAACAAATGCTTTGGCAGGAGATTAAAAAGTTACTTTTCTAGCTGGAGCCAGTGGCTCACACCCACAATCCTAGATACTCAGAGGCCTGAGATTTAAGGATTCTGGTTCAAAACCAGCCTGGACAAAAAAGTCTATGGGACTCTTTTCTCCAATTAACCACCAAAAAGCCAGAATTGGACCTGTGGCTCAAGTGGTAGAGTGCCAGCCTTGAGTGGAAAAGCTAAGGGATAGCACCCACGCACTGAGTTAAGCTAAAAAAATTATCTTCCTAACTTTCTTGTTTTTGGTTGTGGGGCTTAAACTCCACTTCCAGCTTTTTCTGTTTATGTGGTGCTGAGGAATCGAACCCAGGACCTCATGCATGCAAGGCAAGCATTCTACCACTGAGCCACCTTCCCAGCCCCTATCTTCCTAACTTTCTAATTTGTCTTACACGAGTTCTGAAGACAACTGCAGTGTGGAATTTCACGAACATGTATAATGCAAGTATCTAGTGAGAACCTACTATAGGTGCACATGTGCAGTGTCCATAAGACATAAGACAGAGGTGGCCTTGCTCCTCTCGAAGCCTGTAGAAAGGCAGAAGAGATGAAGACCGAGGCAAATACAACAAATCCAGGTGGAGGAAGCAGGATGCTCCTTCTAGAAGGGCAAATACTTGAGGGAAGTATGTGGACCTCTAGCCCCCATAGCTACCAGTGAGCCAGCCTCCTGTCACTACATTGGGACATCCGGAGAACTAAAGTTTCCATTATTTCTGGGCGGGTAAAGGACCTGTAGACTTCATAGGAATTATCAAAGAGCATCTGCCTTCAAGAACACAAAATTCAGCCAGGCGCCGGTAGCTCACGCCTGTAATCCTAGCTACTCAGGAGGCTGAGATCTGAGGATCGTGGTTCAAAGCCAGCCCGGGCAGGAGAGACCGTGAGACTCCTATCTCCAATAAACCACTAGAAAACCGGAAGTGGCGCTGTAGCTCAAGTGGTAGAGCGCTTGCCTTGAGCTGAAGATCTGAGGGACAAGCACCAGGCCCAGAGTTCAAGCCCCATGACCGACAAAAAAAAAAAAGAACACAAAATTCATCTTCACCATTTTCAGAGGCCGCATGGATCCAATGTACGCTTCTTCCGTATCCCAGAAGGATAAGTCAGGGTATTCGCCAGGCTCGAGGATGAAAGGAACACCTTGAAACCCAGGTTCTTCGTAAATCAGCCATCTAAATAACCACCAAGGGAAGGCAGAAGCAGATAGCTCAGCATTGGTGTCAGCTACGGGAACCCCTTGACAGGAAGGAATGCAACAGGAGAGGATGTGGGACAGCAGCTAGGTGTTGGAGGAACAAGCATGCCGTCCTCTTCCTTTTCAGCTTTCCTCCTTGGCTTACTTTGCCTGCTCCTAAGGGAAAACTTCCTGTTTCCTCCACATAATAAATGTAGTTTGCTTTTTACAGTGTATTTACTCCGGGAGGCCAGAGAGGGAAATCTCAGGCCTGGTTTTAACACCTCATTTGTAACCGAACACAAGTGTTCCACCCTAATCATTTTTCACGGCATCAAAAGCTCGTAAGGCATGCCACCCATGATTTTATCTAATCCGCACAACAATGCTGCAAGGAGGTCAAGGAAAAAGTTTTTACAGAGAGGTTAAGTCCACTCCTCAGGCCACATAGCAGTAAGTGCCCTAGGCTGGGCCACCCAGCCGGATTCCAGAACCCAACTCCCAGGTTCCCTGGTCCTGGTTCATGGGTTTTTCTCAGTACAGGGAGTAGACTCAACAACTTACTCTTTTCATAATTACTTAGGATCAGGCTGTGAGCATTACTCAAGTGCACAGTGGTATTCTTAGGAGCTTGAAAGGCCTACAGCGGTCCCAGGGCTGCAAAGCTTTTCCGGTTCTTGGTTCTGATTTTAATGGCTTTGCAGAGCCCCACCCATCTATCAGGTGAGTCAGCTGTCACTTTTGCTTTGGTCAGGGAATGGCAGCCTCACCCGCCTCTCTGGTGCTCTGGGAAGGAGAGGCTGCTGAAGAGGTGATGTATGTAAGACAGAAGTTTGAGGACATAAAAACACACAGACTCAACAACCACTTACACTTGACACTTTTTTATTCTGGCTAAAATGCTAGTTGTGATACTTCACCATGTTGCTACTCCCCCCCCCACCCCCCCTCTGTTCCCTCCACCACCACCAAACACAGGATAGTTCCAAATAAAATCCTTCACCAGCAAACAAGCCTGAGCTCCACTTCTTGCTTTTTCTCCTATTCCTAATTTTGGCACAAGGCACATTTTTATTTTTATTTTTTGTCAGTCCTGGGGCTTGAACTCAGGGCCTAGACACTGACCCTGAGCTTCTTTTGCTCAAGGCTAGCGCTCTACCACTTGAGCCACAAAGCCATTTGGCTTTTCTATTGATGTGTACTGAGGAATTGAACCCAGGGCTTCATGCATGCTAGCAAGCACTCTATCACCAAGCCACATTCCCATCCAAAAGACACATTTTCAGTGCTAGTTTTTATTAAAGATTCCCCTGGATAAATCAGCAATTACTTTAGACTAAACAAAAGGGTTTATCACCAAAATCCTACTGCAGTTAGACAATGGCATGTAAAGAATGCTGAGAAGCTGGATGTGGTGCATAGTGAGACTCACAGCTCACACTCGGTGAGAAATCTGAACAGTGAGCTGGTGGAATACAAAAGATGCGAGGAGGCAAGAAAGAGAGGCATCTATTGCTTTAGATGATGGTTCCACTTGTGAAAATTAATTCAGCTTAGACACTTCAGATTTGCCGTGGACCTTTTTGTACAAATGATATATTTCAGGACAATTTAACTGAAGGGAAAAAAGTGGTTTGTCTTTTAAATATCCTCATAACCACAAGAAAACAGTAGGAAGGGAGCACTTTAAAGTTGCTAATGCTGGACTGGAAATGGGGCTTATGGTAGCGTGCTTGCCTAGCATGCATGAAGCCCTGGGTTCAATTCATGAGTACTACAAAAATAATAATAAAAAAATTATAAAAAACACAAAATTGCTAATATTTAAAGACAGTTAAGGATACATGATACATTTTTGGAGCTCAGAGCATCACAGCCTACTCTGTGCCCTAAAGTTCTGGAATAAGTTCATTTTCAGCTAACAAAGGCCTCAGAGTCTGACTTGGCCAAAGGAACGGACTTAATCTTTTACAACAGGAGGCGTGGCTCATGACCAAGGCACTGAGGGTCTGAAAGGAAGCTTTCCTAAGGGACTTTTCTTTAGGCCTTCTATAGAGTTGGAGTCCTGGATGGATTTATTTGATACTAAAATTTCACTTTCCTTGAAGTTATGCTAATCACCTAACATCGGGAGGAGGAAGGCAAATTGGGGCAGAGAAGATTTACAAAAAACTGAACATACAAACTGGTATACTCTGAAAGGACTATCATAGTACTACATATGCATATATAAAAATAGAATAATGAAGACTGTTAGCATTGTTCCTAAAAGGTGGGGAGAGATAAGAAAGAATAATAAAGTCAAGCCCCATGGCCAACAACAAAAAAAGAGTAATAAAGGAATGAATTCGATCCACGTACATTATATACATGCATAAAAATATCACAATGAAGCACTTTTGTACAATTAATATGCACTAAGAAGATAACTGATAACTCTTTTTTTTTTTTTTTTTTGGTCCGGTTGTGGGGCCTGAACTCTGGGCCTGGGCGCTGTCCCTCAGCTCTTCAGCTCAAAGCTAGCGCTCTACCACTTGAGCCACAGCGCCACTTCCGGCTTTTTTCTTTTTGCTTATGTGGTGCCGAGGAATCGAACCCAGGGCCTCAGGCATGCAAGGCAAGCACTCTACCACTGAGCCACCTTCCCAGCCCAACTGATAACTCTTTATGTGTTTTGTGCCAGTACTGGGTCTTGAACTCACACTTGGCTTTTTCAGTCAAGGCTGGTATTCTGCCACTTGAGCCATACCTCCATTCCACATTTTTTTTGCCAGTCCTGGGGCTTGAACTCAGAACCTGGGCACTGTTCCTGAGTTTTTTTTGTTGTTGTTGTTGGTCATGGGGCTTGAACTCTGGGCCTGGGCGCTGTCCCTGTGCTCTTCAGCTCAAGGTGAGCACTCTACCACTTTAGCCACAGAGCCACTTCCGGTTTTCTGGGTTTATTGGAGATAAGTCTCATGGACTTTTTTGCCCACACTGGCTTTGAACAGCGATCCTCAGATCTCAGCCTCCTCAGTAGCTAGGATTACAGGCGTGAGCCACCGACGCTCGGCTGTCCCTGAGCTTTTGCTCAAGGTTAGCACTCTACCACTTGAGCCTCAGCATCACTTTTGGCCTTTCTGTTTATGTGGTACTAAGGAATTGAACTCAAAGCTTCATGCATGCTTAGCAAGCACTCTACCACTAAGCCACATTCCTAGCCCTCCACACTTTTATTTGGTGCCAATCCTAGTCTTTAACTGGGCCAGGGCACTGTCTCTATGCTTTTTTGCTCAAGGCAAATGCTCTATCCCTTGAGCCACAGCTCCACTTCTGGCTTTTGGGACGGTTAACAGGAGATAAGAGTCTCACAGATTTTTCTGACTGGGTTTTTCCTGCCTGAGCTGGCTTTGAACTGCGACCCCCAAATCTCAGCCTCCTGAATAGCTACAATTACAAGCATGAGCCACCAGTGCTTGGCAATTTCACACTTTTTGCTAGTTAATTGGAGATAAGAGTTTCACAGATTTTTCTTCCTAAACTGGCTTGCAACCATGATTCTCAGATCTCAACCTCCTCAGTAGCTAAGGATAACAGGTGTGAGCCATTGGTGCCTAGCTCAAGACTGTATTCTGAGAGTTCTTTCTCAGCAAGTCTTAGCTGGAACTTGCTGGGTACCTCAGATAGATATTTATGCTGAGTGCACTTTGAGATCTGAAAACTCATTAATTTTTCAGAAACGATTCCAGTAAGATATAATATTCATGAGGCTAACAGAAGAGGGGGAAGTATCTTCAGGCAATGTTATTTCAGCTTATGAAGGTCTCTCTTTTCCTTTGCATTTAAGTAACGAGCTTTTGCCAATCTGCAATAAAAAGCATGACTAGGTGAGTGTGGTTATATATATCTGTGATCCCAGAATTCAGGCAGAAAGGTTGTCAAGTTAAAGATGAGTTACATAGCAGAACTCTGTCTAAAAATATAAAATACATTTAATATTTATGTGTGTATACACATATATATTTGTATATGTATATATGTGTGTGTGTGTATGTATATGTGACTTTATAAAGTCATAAACTTATAAAATTTCAAAGCATAGACTTTTTGTTGTTGTTGTTATGGGTTGTGGGGCTTGAACTCTGGCCCTGGGCACTGTCAGCTCAAGGCAAGCACTCTACCACTTGAGCCACAGTGCCACTTCCAGTTTTTTGGTGGTTAATTGGAGGTAAAAGTCTCACAGACTTTCACACTGGGGCTGGCTTTGAACCGTGATCCTAAGATCTCAGCCTCGTAAGTAGCTAGGATTACAGGCATGAGCCACCAGTACCCGGCTAAAGCATAAACTTTTAACAAACATGAATATATATAAATGTATTCATAACAAATGCATCTGAATACTGCTGAAGTACTAATAATGAACATTCATAGGTATATTAAAAATATCTGTGATTATTCTTTTAGAAATACCCTTTGACTCACCCAAGAAAAATTGGTCCCATCATGTCCACTAGTTCTTAAATAAGTAACCTGTTGTCACCACCTAGGAGACAAAGCTAAACTTACAATATTCCCAACTGGATCCTGACATGTGGTTGAACATAAAAACTGGTCATTGACAGAAACCAATTGGACACTTGGAAGATTAAATGTGATTGTTCCAGCTTTGAGGTTACATAAAACATAGTGGCTATGACTCTCAAGCAGGGAAATGTACTTTTACATGGCACCACTTCAACTGAGCAAGCAAAGTTGGCATCATTAATAGGCAAGCTGGTTAGTACAAGTCACCCGATGGGGTGCAGCCTAAGTATATGGCACTAACTGAATGAAGCACCATTGCCAAAATTGTTCAACCTGCGTTGCAGGTTTGGCTCAAGCGACAGAGCATCTACCTGGCAAGCTTAAAATTGTTCCACTTACCTATGATATCTTTAAACCAAATTCTTAGTATAAAGAAAATTCAGTTAATAAAGGAACATGTTTGATAGATATAAGGAAATAAACATTCAGAATGTG